ATGAAAAAATTAATCTAAGTACAAACTTACATCAACTTTGTTTCCATCAGGTAGCATATATTGATAAATATTACTATCAGATGATTCTTCTTTAACTGGACTTAGAGCTACATAACAAGCCTTTTCTTTAATTGCTCTAACTACTTCAAATTCTGCTGATGTAGAAAAATTTAAACCTTCTTTTCTTAGTAATAACCTGAACATAAAATTAAAAACTAATAATTGCACTAAAAATATTATTTTATAAGCATAATTACTTGAGATATCTTGATATATCCCGGCCAGCTAAATCTAATCGTATAATACCGTGTTTCATAGCAAAACCTTCATAAATCGGGACAGTGTGAGTGATTCCATCACCAGAATCTAAAACAACTCCAGTAGTGCGACCAGTAGCGTATCTATATACAAAAAATAAAATATTAATATTAAGTAATTTTGTAAACATTTTCTGATATATACAAACTAAGAACTGCCTGAATAGACACATAAAATGCAGGAACATTGAAAGTTTCAAAAAATATTTCTGCAGCTTTTTCACGATTTCGTCGTGGATTTAGAGGAGCTTCAGTTAACAGTACAGGATGTTCTTCGGAAAATGTTTGAAGTTGATCACTACCATAAATATATTGCCATATTCTTTCCATGTCATTCCAATCAGTTACAATACCATGTTCTATAGGATATTTTATGTATAGCAAACCTCGATGTTCTTCAGCTTTCGGTCCAATAAATGTGTCTCCTTCTAAAGCACCAGCCATTACTCTAACATGTTTTGGTCGTCCAATACTATGAATCAATAGTTTATTTAAATATCACTCTAATATATGTAAAATTATAATTTTATGTTGTCAACTTACTAATTTGGAAAACAACATTTTGGTGTTTGTTCCCCAGCAAATCCAGCTTTAATGGCACCTGATCCCTGCAAAAATACAATTCATAATTACAAATTATTAAAAAATAGATAAATTAAATAACTTAAAATGGGTTGACAATATTATTCAGCATCTAAAAATCTGTATGATAATTAAATGCTTAATTTATCAATACAGTAGATTTTTGTATTATAAAAAATATAAATGATAAAAATTAATTATTAGTTTGATATAGGTATATAAATGTTAAGCATTTACTTTTTACAGAAAAGTGAAAATAACTAAACATTAATTTTTTTTTTCATAGTAAAACTTTTGAAATAAGATTTAAATATCAAAATAAAATATACATTTGGAACATTACTATGAATATACACTATAAGAAAACTTTAAGTATTTATTTTCAGTTTRATATTCCTAAGATTGACATTTTGAAAGTTCTAACAAAAATAATACTTTAATGGAAAATTAATTGCTGCAGTTGATAATGCAGTTTAAGTATTCCAACTTAATTTATTATTGCTTAGTATAAATAAAACAAGCACAACATTTATAAGACAAAATTAAATATGTGCTTTTTATTTAATATTAAATTTCATAAGAAAATAATTTATTATTTCATGAATATAATAAATTTAAATATGTTAGATACCTAATTGATAGATAAACTTTAAAAAAAAACTATGTTTATTTAAATACATTTTCTAAGATTTAGRTACCTATGGGCTATGATTAAATCTTTTTTGATCTACATAGTATTTAATTCTTAAGCATAATTAATGCATTTAATAAT